AAAAAAAAAAAAAAAGAACTAACTGAAAGAGGCTGAGACCAGATCCAGGCAGCGCAAATGCCTGACTCCCTTGTGCCCACAACAGAAGCCCTAAATGCTCCCCACACACTAGCCTTCCTGACAAGGGCCCCCAATGATGGGAGGAATGGTGCCAGACATCGAGGAGGCCATGGAAATGGTCGGGGCCATGAGTACGTGGCCAGGCTGGGATACATTGTCAAGGCTGTGCTAGGAGCCAACTGGCGCCTGTCCACCAGGCTGCCTGGTAGGAAGCCAGCGCCCGCCCTATTGACAACAGTAGCTCCAGCCTGGGAGGCAACTAAGTCGGGCCTGGTCCCCACTGCTCAGCAAAGCCTCTACAGCTCCAGATCTTCCTTGTGGCTACAGCCACAAGGAGACCTCGGAACCTGCCATGTCCTGAGCTGTGCTGAATAAGTAGGAGGTGTAAGGCCTGGCTAGTGCGCTCAGATTTCCCTCTGACACACAGTCCAGGCTCAGGGCACTTCAAGCTCACTGCCCTAAAGAAACAGGACTCCACCATTCGGGCTATGACTTCTTCTACCTGTCCATGTTTCTTGGACCTCTGGTGGTCCAACCCCACAGCAAGAAATAGGGAGCAGATTTCTTCACTGGATCAATGTGGATGCCCTCCCCCGGGTACTAGTGAAAAGGTCCTCCAGGGCGCCAGGGAAACTCTGGCTTGCACAGTGTGGGAAATAACACTAGAACAAATTCCATTTGGTGCCATGGTTAAAAGGCACATATTCCAAAATCACAGGGATCTAGGTTCATATCCCAACTCATCTACTTAATAGCTGTATGACCTTGGCCATGTTACTTAACCTCTTTAATCTCAGTTCCTCATCTACAAAACGGTGATAATGACAGACTTTTCCTAACAGGGTTAGAGGGGGATTACCTGAAAGAATGCCTGTAAAGTACCCAGCTAATGCTGGTAACACTGTCTTCCAGTCACGAGGGGCTCACAACACTCCCCTTTCAGTGGGTGTATCCCTATCCTGCCCTACTCCCAAAGGCTCCAGGCTCCCAGAAAGGAAAGAAGGCAGTTCCCTTCTCCCCAGGATCTTAGGTCTCTCCACTCCCTCAAGAGGAGGCCAACCTCCCGCCCCCAGCACCCCCTCCTTGTCTAGCAAGAATGTGATAGAGCAGCAGTTTTTTCTTGCCCTGATGCAGCCCTCTCTGAGGGGGAGGGAGGGCTCAGCCTAGGAGGTTTTCTTAGACTAGCTGGGGACTGAGAAGTAGCGGGGGTGGGAAGAAGGTGACAGAAACTTGCACTGTTGCTCAACCCTGTACCTTCTGCCCTCAGGGTTCCTTCTGAAAACTGGAGAAAACATGTAAGAAAAGGTAGAACAAGAAACACAGGATGGGAAAGGGAGAGAGAAAGAAAACAGGAGGTGGCAGATAAAGAGGCAGTTTGGGGTCCCTCTAATGACAAGGACCAAAAAACAAAAGGTCCAACTGAGGTTCTGAGCTCCCAATGGACCAGCAGCTGTGCTGGCAGCCAGCACCTGAACCCCCAAATTCCTATTTCCTCCCAGAATCCCCTTCCCAGGGCACTCACACATCCTCTATACACTCTGGAGGCTGTTTCAGGCGGTTCCCGCCGATGAGGTAGTTGTAAATCTCAGCGTTCTCAATGCCAGCATACGGCGTCTGCCCACGCGTCATGATCTCCCACATGGTCACCCCGAAGGCCCACTGGGAAAGAAGCGAGGTTGGAGGGGAGATGTCGTTAGGCTCCCTGAGCTGGGCAGAACCCTAAGACAAGCACATCTTAGAGCATAGAGGTGTTATAAGGGGGCAGCCAAAGCCCAGAGACCTGGCTAGGTCCCTGAGGATTCCAAAGGTCCACCCACACACTGGGCCACACTGCTTATGTTACCACCAGGCCTCACTGTGCTCCCCGGCTCACCACGTCACTGTGCACAGTATATAGGTTGTCAGCCAGGCTCTCCAGGGCCAGCCACTTGACGGGTAATTTGGAGGCACAGCCCTGGCGATAGTAGTCCCCGCTATAGATCTTCCGGGAGAGCCCAAAGTCAGCCACACACACCGTCATGTCTTCTGCCAGCCTGTGAGGGGTGTTGGAGGGTGGAGTCAGCCTTCCCCCATGCTGGCAGCCGTACTAAAATCAGAGTATCTTTGCTCCCCAGCTGTCCCCACGCATAGCAGATACAGTCCCAGGTGAGAAGTGACCATTAGTCTTCCTGTCATTAGCTGCTCGTTCCCACCCAAGCCCTCCGGAATTCACATACATGCAATTCCGAGCAGCCAGGTCTCGGTGGATAAAGTTCCGGGAGCTCAGGTACTCCATGCCACAGGCAATGTCCACCATGAACCGGACCAGGGTCTGCAGGGGCAGGTTCTGGTGGGGCAGACAGAGCAAACTCAGGCTGGATCTGCCCACCCAGCCAGGGCAAGATGAATGGGGTTCCCTGGCCAGAAAGCCTAATGACTGTCCTTGGAATTAATGAAAGGAGGGGGATGGAGGGACTTCCCAAGACAAAGAAGCTTTGGCAGACCTGAGAGAGAGACAGCACCCAAGAGTCAAGGCACTCCTCGTGTGGGATTCCACAGATCTCTTCTCTCAGAAAGGGCCCTTGCCCGTACTAAAATGCCCAGCAGGGCTCTGAGGGAGAAGGAAGCCTTCTAGCATAAAAAGGGTAAAACCCAGCCTGCCTCTTTCCAGCCAGCTTGATCAGCCCTGCTCACCAAGCCAAATTCTCTCCCAGGGTCTTTGTCCCTTTCCAACTCCTGGCCATTCCACCCCAGGCACTCACAAAGGGATTCTCCCCAATCCGGGAGGCGAGCAGGAAGGCGTGCAGGTCCCCATGCTTCATGAAGGGCAAGATGACCATGGGGATAGGGAGACGGCCTTTGGCTCTGCTTCGGAGGCTCACCCCTGGGGACAAGGGAGAGTCAGAAGCAGGGCACATAAACGTCAAGAGACAGCTTAGGGGTCTGCGTGAGCCTCCCAACTGCTAGGTCCTACCTCTAGCCCTGGCTCTGTTCCTTCTCCATAAGTCCACAGTGGCCTGGTGACTACTCAAGATTTGTCTGCCCCTAGATCTCTGGAGCATCTTCTTGTCCCCTCCTCCTCTGCCTCTGTTCAAATGGTCAGTCTTCATGTGCAGACCTTTGGTACAGGGCCTGCACACTAAATTCCTTACCTGAGTCTGATCAGATTTCAGCCAGGACTCTCCTTGCTATTTTGCTATCTGCTTATTCACCACGTAAGTCCAAACTTCTCTCCCACAGGCTGCCCTCCCACCTTGGCGGAACACAGTTTTAGCTCTATTGTATTTCTGCCTCCCCTAAGAAGGAGCTCACCAACAAGCTTGGCCACATGTGGGTGGTCAAATTCCTTCATGCAAGCCGCTTCCCTGAGGAATTCTTCAATGTCGCTGGAAGCAATGATGTCAGCTGGAAAAAAAGATAGGAGAGAGGGAATGAGGGAGATGTGCCCACAATTCTGATCCAAGACTCCTAGGCCTTGTCCTTCCTGGGCTTCCCAGGGAGTTCAGGAAACAGACTGGCATGAGCAGGAGAAACCCCCATGGAGTGGGGCTATCCAACAACCTCTCTGCTTGCTAATGGTCTTCCCTTTGGTTTAGATAGTCCAGAAGCTCAAGCAACCACAGCTTTAATCACCCTGAATGAGCTCAGAGGAGTCACTGCTGATGGCAGAGAGCAAAGGCTAGGGCACAAACTTGTGTGGGTTTATGCCTTTGAATTATTCACGGGGCACAGGCAGCATCCTACTTAGTGATGAGTAACTCTTCTTGGAAAGTCTAAGGACCCAGCAGAGCCTGCTTCTGTATCAGTCACCCCTTCCACTCCTCACTCCATGTCTACTGCTCTTCACTCACCTTTCAGCATCTTGACAGCCACTTTCACAAAGGAGCCATCCTCTTGCTTCAGCTGGGCCTCCCGCACTGAACCAAACTCTCCTAGGAACCGACCCAAATGACGGTGAGGCCACCTTGCCCTACTGCCTCCCACCCCCTTTCCTCCCAGGTGACCCTCCACAGGGACACAAATCACTAGACCCTGGGGACATTGCAGGAGGCTCCTCTGTCTGCAGCCAAAGGGAGTATGCTGGGAGTGCTCCTCAGTCCTCCTCATCCCCAGCCACCATTCCTCCAAACATCCCAAACTCAGGCATTTACAAATAGATCCTGTTTATAGGAGCTGCCCTAAATCTACACCCCCAAAGTGACAGGAGCAACCAAACACACCCAGATATGGCAAACTCCACTCCTGCCAATCACTGTGCAGCCCCACACACCTTTGCCCAACATCCGGCCTAGGGTGAACTGCTGCTCTGGGATGAGCACATCCTCCAGTTTGTCCTTGAGTTCATCACTGATGCCCAAGCTGTCCACTGTGGGGAGAGGGGTGGTAAGAAAGGAGAGGGGCCTCTCCTGCTCCTGACTCGTACCCCAGGCTCCACCCTCAGTGCAGACATGAGCTTAGTTTAGCTCTCCCATAGCTGGGGTAGAGACATCCATGAGGGTAGATCTCTGTGTCTTTTCTACTACCGTGTGCTCAGGACTCATCAATGTTCAGGCACACTGGTCAAATTAATGAGCTAGCAAAAAGAATGTAGTTAGGGGCTCTCTCCCTCTCTCTCTCAAAAATAAACAAATAAACATCAAAAAACAGGGTGGCTCAGTCGGTTAAGCCTGTGACTCTTGATTACAGCTCAGGTCATGATCTTACGGTGGGGGGATCAAGCCCCTCATAGATAGAACCCTTTGTCAGGCTCAGGGCTGGGTGTGGAGACTGCCTGGGATTCTTTCTGTTCCTCCTCAGCTCAGGTGAACTCTCTCCCTCTCTCTCAAAAATAAATAAATAAACATTAAAAAAGAAAGAAAGGAAGAAAAAAAGACAGTCCATTTTTCCTCCTATGATTCCCCACACTCACGTGTGGCTTCGATGCGCTCAGGCCTTTCCCGATTGAAGGACCGGGCTGCCCGGAAGTGAACGGCTGGCTCCCCCCGGGCCATGACACTGTCAAAGGCTTGCCTAAGAAGAAACCCAGGACTTGGAATCAGCTCCAAGATCTACAGTCACCACTTGCCTCTCCCTCCACGTCCTTACCCCCTTACCCGAACCGTGTCTCCTTCCGCCTCTTTCGAAGCAGGATGAGGGCCAAGGCAGCAGCCGTCACTAGGGCTGTCAGCACACCCAGGACTACAGGCACCCAGGATGTACGGCTATGGGGAGGGCCCTGCTGGCCTGTGGGAGACAGGGGGAGTGGCATGAGCTAGGCTGACATAAAAGAGTCCCTTTAGAATTTTCCAATGATGGCCATCTGGTCTGGTCAAGAGGTTCTCTTAAGTCAATAAAAGTCCCAAGTGGAAAGCAGCTCCGAAGGAAGACCCAAGAGTTCCTACCTGTCAGTGATTGGCCCTGGCTATTGGGACTTACAACTCGACCAGAGATTCCTATGCTAGTCCTGTGGCAGGGGGAGGAGAATGACTTTTAGTTTAAATACCAACCCTGGCCTCAACTGCTGAGTCTTTGGGTCTATTAGCAGGAAAGGTACTGCCAGCCTCCTTCCACCAGTCTAGGTTGCCCTTGAAAGCCTTGCTCCCCTGTGCCCTTCCCCTGCAGGCCTTACCTGCATGGTCATGAGAAGAGACCACCAGTGGCTGACTCCAAGGCCCACAGCCAACTGCATTGGAGACGCACACACGCACAGTCAGGTCCTTCTGGGGATCCCAGCCTGTCAAGTTGGCCCTGGTCCCCTCCACTGTCAGCTCACCCTGCAGCCAGGAAAAGCCCCCATCCCATACTTGAGTCTGAGGAAAAGGCCTCCAGCTGGGGCCTGAAAGTCAGAAAAAGGTCTAGCTAGGAACTCAGGAGGCAAGGGACACTGTGGGTTCAGGGGCTTCAGGAACACAACATGCTGGGAGTCATCACATTCCTGCTACAGGCTGCAGAGGCCTCTCCTGAACACAAACAAGGCTCAGTCCTGGCTGGCAGAGGTGGGGGATGGGAGGGAACTAGGCTTGGGATAAGATGGTCTTATCTGCAACCTCCCCTCCCCAATTGGTGCAGGAATGTGCTTCCTGCTTTACAAACAAAGCAGCCACCCACCGGATGCAATCCTAACTGGAGACACCATCCAATAAGGAGGGAAGAAGCCTGCAGGGGGAGGTGGGGAAAAGTGGACTCCCTCTCCCTCGGGTGGTGGGAGGCTGAGCCCACCAAAGTCCCCAGGCCCACCAAGGACGGCCATTCAGAAGCTCTAAAGGCCTTAGAGCCCTGAGAGCTGACTCTGGTACACCTGAAGAATGGAAGCTTGTCTCCCCTTACCTGGGTGCCCCTTACCTGGGTTCCGTTGTCTTGAACCCAGGACAGTTTATAGGGTCCCAGGGGGCCTTCCAAAGGGCCCTCAGGGATCACTTCTTCCCACTCCAGGATGAGGCCTGAGTCTGTGCGGATGGCATGGAGGTTCTGAGGAGTGCTGGCTGGGGCTGTACCCGAAGAGAGAAGGCTACTAAGAGCCCTGCCCTTCCCACTATCACTATCCCATGCTGGCCTTTGGAACCAACTCCCAAGAACTACACAGCTCAGAGAGCTACAGGTGGGGTTTAAAGCTTGCCTCCCAGTCCTGACTGCTCTCACTTTTAATCCTGTGGAGGACCAGTGAGTAAAGGCAGGACCCACAGCACCCTGCTAGGTACAGTGCTGCTCTTGGTTACTGCCTCAGGAGCATCCTTTACCACTTCTCCCTCAAAGCCCCACCAGCCTCTTTGCAATTGCTAAGAGAAATACAGGCAAGTTCCTATCGTAGGATCTTTGCACTTGCTAAGCCCTCTTCTGCATTGATTTTCCCCCAGTGTGGCTCCTTCCTTATCACTCAAACCTCAGTCTCTTTACAGGGGGTATGCCTGGACCACCCTGGGGCACTCTTCATCAATCTTTTCTGGTATTATCTGATCTTTTCTAATCTGCTTGTCTGTTCCACCCCCCTAGAACTAAAGCTGCATGGGAAGGGAGCTGGGTTTATCTAGTTCATAGGTATGCAGCAGACACTCAGTGTTTGCTGGATGAGGCAGGAACCTCTTTTTCGGGTAGCTTCTCTCTCAAGCAACCTCATTCAGAACTGGAGCCAACATCACCTCTTCCCCACTGGAGCCCTGCCCAGCCACTTTGCTAAGTCCCTTACCTAGACCCTTTGTCCGGAAGGGCACCCAGTCAGCATATGGAGAAGGCCCCAAGGCGTTGGCACAGCGCACCCTGAGACTGTAGTTGGTGGCAGGTGCCAGGTCCCGGAGCAGGCAGGTAAAAGGTGGCACAGGGACCACAACAGCCAGGACTTCCCAGTCTCCTGGTGCCTGTGTCACCTACAGAAAAGCAGCAAAGTAATGAGGGAGAGAGCGGAGATAGAAAATGGGATTGTGGCATAGGCATGGGGGGTGGGGGATCTTGAGTTAATGACTCCTCTAAGCCTATCAGCAAACACTTGCAACCCACCCCCTCCCACCGCCCACCACTCCAATAACACACCAGGTTCCACATCTCCATGCATTTGCAAATGCTGTTCCTTTGCTTGAAATGATCTTGCTTGCTCTTCATAGGAAAGTCCAATTCATCTTTTAAGATTGAGTGCAAATACCACTTTTTCTGTCAAAGACTTTCTCATCTACTCCAGAAAACTCATGCCCTTTTATGCTCGGTTCATAATTGGGTTATAGAGTTACCATGTATTGTAACCAGTGCAAAGTCTCAGTTTCTCAAGGGCAGAGTAACTGAGAGCCTAGGGGCACCATGAACCAAGACTTCACCTTACATTTTGGGGGCCCAGGGCAAGAGTACAAATGGAGACCCATGTACCATGGGGCTAAATATTTAAATGTTATAAATCAGCTAACAAATTATTAAATAAAATATTCCCTGTCTTCGTATATTGACAAATAAAGCTTCCAAACAACCTGGAAGGTCAGGTTTGCATTTATAAACCTCTGATTCCTTGAATTCCCAAGCCAGAATGTGGTAGCACAAGAAGACGAAGCCTCCGAGCCAAGGGTCTGTACCGAGAGGAACATCAGATGCCCGGGTGTGGACAATGTTGCCTGCATACCCATCCCCCACAATGGCTGCCCTTTGGACTTAGAGGTGCACAAACCAAAGATGGGCCAGGCCCTGGAAGCAGACTGGGGACCATAAGGCAAGACATCCCTAGTATCTAGAATATGGTGTAGTGTGGCAGTTGGGGAAAGGGAAGAGGGTGTCCTCATGATCTAGATAGGCATATCCCCTTGGCTCTACAGACTCCTTGCCCAGGGGCAAGGGGTGCAGCCAAAGAAGGGCCACAGTGGCATCCTCTAAATGGTATAGACCAGAGTAGCAGGGACCTCTCCTGCCAGGGGCAGGGGACTGCCTAGAACAGTTTCAAAGTGTTCATTAAATACCTTTGAGTAAACAGATGAAAATAAGGCTTCATGCATTGCTTCTTGTTTTTGTTATTACCTTACCCAGATTTTCCACTCTCTGGTGTTTAGAACCCCTCGGATCCCCTTGTTCTCTTTGGCATGAGTCAGGGGGTGGGGCATAAGGGTACAGGTATCAGCTAAATCAAAGGTTTGGGTTTTTGCCGACATTAAGAAAAATCCTTCCAGGCATCCCAAATCTGCTCTAGTGATCTGCTTTCCAGCCTGAAGAATGTACGGGTTAGAGCCAACTTGCCAAGTCACTTGGTTGCCAGAGTACCCTATAATAAGGGACAGTGGGTTGAGTTCTTCCTGGTAAGACAGCAACACCTGAACAGGGCTAGAAACCAAGTCCTATGGGCAAATGTAGGTAAAAGTGATACCACCGTGAACAAAGTGCCACCAAGGCAGCCACAGAACGAACATGGCCAGGAGAGTCTGTCCTCGCTCTCAGCCTACCTGGACCGTACATGATTGGAGCAGGGCCAGGCCATCAGCACCTGGTGTCCAGGCCACACTAGCATTGCTGCTGGAGAGCTTTGTCACTGTGATGTTGAAGGGGGCTGCGGGCAGTGCTGTGGACAGGGAGTGAGAGTCAGTGCCCTGGAGTTCAGTGCCCAGCAAGGATATGAGGAAGCAGAAGGCATGGGAGTCCTTTGCTTTGAGTCCCTCCCTAAGGTCTGGAGTTTCCCCCAACCTAACGATGGCTACTCAGCACTCCCAGGACCACAGTAATATACAAGCCAAGCAACCAGTAAGGGACAGCTGCTCATACCCAGGAGGGTGCGTTGGCTGGGGACAGAGGTCGCCTCTCTATGAATCAGGGGACCTGTCTGACCAAGGAATAGGGTAAGACAGTGGGTGCATGTGGGGACAGCACCTTGGCCTTGAGAGATACAAATGAGAAGCTGTCCCTGCAACCATAAGCCATTCCTCCACACACTGGCTCTCTCCCTCCCTTTTCCCTCCCTTTGTGCATACCAGCCCTTTGGATCTCCTCTATCAACCTGCTAGGCTGTTTTCCCCAGCCCCATTCCCTCCACAGGGGCTGCCAGAAGCAAGGTTGGGCATGAGCCTTGACCATCTCCTGCTCGCTCCCTCTCTCCCTCCCTCGCAAGGACTCTGCTTCGTGATGGGAAATCTGCTGTGACGTCAGGTTTCTATTCTCATCTCAGCCACGGCAGGGTCTCAGGTGCCCTCACTAGGGATGGAGCTCTGCCAATTAACCCCTCATCCCTCAAATCCCAGCAGGGCTGCGGGAAGCTAGAACACCAAATGACTGCAACTTCATCAGCTGGCTGAGAACGCCCCTGACTCGCCCACTCTCCTTCCCTCCCTCCCTCCCCCCCACCAGTCCTCCTGCCAGTCTTCCTACCTTGAAGGCGAACAGTGGCTGGGCGAGAAGAGGCCAGGCCTTTAAGGTTGTGAGCTTCACAGGAGAACACTGTGCTCTGGGTCACCCCTGAGGCCAGAAAACCTCAGTCAGCGCCCCCCAAGCAGCAACTTGCATTTATTCTGGGACCACCAGGGAAGGGGGATATGTAGGCTCTGGATCTGAGTATCCTAGAAGTCCCTCAAGCCGGAAGGAAGGGCTAAACAATGGGATATGTTGGAAACAACAGGGACTTTGGAGTCTAATGCGCCTGGATATAAACCCCAAGGCTGGGGCTCTGTCTTCTCATCTCCCAAATGGGAGAATTGTGAGAACCAAATGACGTAACACACATAAATTGCATGGCACAGTGAACACTTGAGGAATGTTCTACTACTTCCCCCCTACCTCAATCCACCTCCTGAAGATAGCACAAAGCTCCCTCCCTTTTCTGTTCACTCCTTTATTGCACATTCCAGAGCCCTTCTTTATTTGCTCTATGCCGTATCATTGTTACATTTGCAGATTCTTTGCCTTGCAATAGTTCTCAGTTCTTTATGCATGTGTCTTGTCTCCCCAATTATACTAATTCCTTGGGGGCTGGACTGATGGCTTCTATTTCTTTTGTATTCCCTAGATCCCCCGTGGTGCCTAGCACAGTGTGATGTGTGGAGTAGGAGTTCAGTGAGTGCTTATTATCAGGCTGGCTGTCTGAGGTCCCAACCACGTACATCTGGAAAAAACTGAACCCAAACTTCCCTCTAATCTGCTCTAGCCCAGCACCTCCTGATCAGGTCCCACAGCCCACCTCTTCTCAAGATTCATATTGCTAGGGCACTTGGCACAACAGAACCTGTCCCTCCCACCTTCCAGTGTGTGAGACCAAGCTCAGATTCCCAACTTTTTTGGTCAGTTCAAGTCTCGACCAGGAACTTTAGCTTTATTTCACAGATAAGTGAACCTCATGAGCCTCAGTATGTGTGTGAGGATCTTGGGGTCCAGGTGGGTGTGCATTACTGCTTTGGGTGTATCTGCGTGGAGGTATGGATAAATATAGTTATTTGAGAAAATGTCTAGAAATTTCTGGAAAGGGCCATTAGGAGAGGCGGCTCCTGTATCTTTGTGCTGCCACCCCCCACCTTTCCTTCTCCCTGCCATTCCCCACTCTGCAGCCCTAGACTCTTGTCTTCTAGGCAAGTCTGCCAGACACTCCTCCTAGTTCTGCGTGGGCTGGTTCCTGGCTCCTTCCCTTGGGAGGGGTGGGGGGAATGGGTGCCCCTGGTTCCACACGATTCCATCTCCCAGGGCCAGCTGTGCATGGCCTGGACTACTGTGAAGGACAGGGAGAGGCTCCAGCACCCTCCAAACACACCCAGCAGGATCACCACTAATCGGCCTATCTGCCAGCCTAGCACACCTGACTCAATGAGCTTAGTAATGGTGCAGGTCAGGTACCCAGGCACTGGGGTGTTTTCTGGACACTCACAATACCATACCTGGTGATTTACACAGATTTGAACTCTGCCAGCCTCACCACCCCTGCTCAAAGCCCCTCCTGATGCTGCTCACCTGTTACATTTAAAACAGAAGGAGAGGGAGCAGGTCCCCCAACCTTTGTGCCTCCTCTCCACCAGACAATGGTAACAGGTTCAGGGGGACCCACGGCCTCACAAGACAGCTGGAAAGGGGCATTGGGTGGCACTGCCAGATCTTTTGGCTCCACAGTGAAAAATGGCACACCTAAGGAGAAAGGGGGGGGTGGGGAATGAGCCTTGCCACCTCTCAGTTTTCAACCACCCCAAACCACAAGTTTGCTACCATTTGTAGCCCTCTATGCAGAAGGTCCCACAGGCCCTCATGATTGGGTCAACTGCAGAACAGGCCATCTAGCTGGAGAGGGAGCTTCTCTTCTTTGGGCACCTTAGGAATATACTTTATGCTCTCCTCTTGGGCATGGGAGCTTCTCTCTTCCCAGACCTGCTCTGACAGCCCTTCTCAGAGCAAGGGAGGAGGCAGAGGGTGGGGAGTGGGGGAGGGCCAGAAAGGGAGGGGGAGTGGGCGGAAGCTTTAGCAGAGTTCTGCTGGCAGGCCCCAGATCCCGTTCAGGGCCCTTTGTTACTTTCTTAGTCACTTTGTTTTCCTGGGCTGAACAGCTCTGAGCTCCCGCAGCTGCAGATCCTTCCTCCCCTCCCCCATCCCTCCTGGCCTGGCCACTTGGCAAAACAGGGTCCAGGCCCAAATGGGTGGTTGAGGCTTGTTGCTCAGACAACTGAAACTGACTGCACCCCATAGGTTGTAAGTCCTAGTTGCCCCCTTGGCTCTGAAATACCCAGATTCCAATGGGTATGGTGTTCCAATGTCTGGGGAAGGCCTGGAGCCTGGTCAGTCAGGCCCCAGAGGGAGTTGGGCAGCTCAGCTTCCACCAAGCTTTCTTCTGCAGAGGTGTGGTCACTAGCAGACAGCACCTGCTCCAGGCCAACATGCCCACCTGTGTCCCTGCCTCCTCACCTTCTACCGTGAGCCACACTGGCTGGGAGGTCTCGGTTTCTCCCCCATCCTCCACCTGGCACCAGTACCGGCCTGCATCAGAGCGCTCCACTGACTTCAGGCTGTGGAAACAGGACACCAGGCTCGCCTCCCAGGGTCAAGAGGGGAAGCTGTGCTGAGCAGACTCAGTGGTTCAGCCTGCCCCCACTTCTGGATGTTTCCAAACAATGCCGAGAAAAACAAAAACAAAAACAACCCAGACCTCTGGACAGCAGCAATGCCCCAGTTCCCAAGCCCCCCCATAAAGCATAACCTGCCCCCAGGCTGGCATGCCACACCTTCCCCCACAGTCCTGCACCTGAGGAAGCCAATCCAGTGCTGCTCACTGACTGGGATGTACACCTGATCCACACTCTGGACCACAGCCCCGTCCTTCACCCACTGTATCTCAGGCTCCTCCATTCCCTCCACACTGCAGTTGAGCTTCACCGGCTGCCCCTGAGATACTGTCAGCTTCACCGGGGCTCCCATGAGCTTCAGGCCTGAGAGGTGGGAAGGAGAAGGTGTCAGTATGCTTGAGAGGGCCCCTGTCTCTGGAAATATCACCTATTCTCTTCCAGAACGTAATTTCTGGGTCGGAGGGCTCATTCTCAGCTAATGGTCAAGAAAGATGTTGGACAGGGTGGGAAGGAAGGTGGCCTGGGCCTTGTCTGGGGAGAGGAACATGACAAGCTCTCCAGAAACCATTTCTGCCACTGCCAAGTTCCCCCCAGCTCTAAGATAGTTACCTCTTCCGCATACTTCGCTACTGGGCAATGTTAAGTTCAAGCCCAACCACCAGAAGGAAGACAAGGCAGGCTGAAAAGGTGGGGCATTCTTATACACCTGGGGCAGGGTACTGCCCTGAGAATGACTGCTGCACCCATCTAGTGCAACAGGCGGCCAGCTCTCTGCCCAAGGTCTCAGGCCAGAACTCACACTGCTGCTGGCACCCCCCTACCTCACCCCGCATCCCACCTTGGCAAATGAAAGGAGGCTGAGGAAGAGAAGGAGGGGGTGCTCCCCTGAAGTGGAGAACATATGGCTACAGAACCACGTCAGATCAAACACATGGCAGCCTTCCTGGCAGCCACCCGCTCTATTAATACCTGAATGTGTGCAGGGGCGGGTGCTAGGGAGGTAGGAGGTAGAAGGGAGGGGAGGGGCCCTGAACAGGGAGTCCAAGACCCCTGAGCTACTGTCACACCAACAGGAGCCACCCTGTGGAGCACTACCTTCTGCAGGCATCCACACACACAAGCGCGTGCACGCGAAAACACACACACACACACACACACACACACACACACACACACACACACACACCCCTTCTGGTCTTCTGGTATGTTTTTAAGCAGAGAGGGGCAGGTGAACTATCCACATAGCTGAATCCGGTCCTGCTTCTTCCTACCCTTTGCTGCGCAACTCCAGGCAAATTCCTGGGCTCCCTAATTCTGAGATCTACCCTTTCAGCTTGTAAATACTTGTCACTCTTCCCCTTCCCTTCTCTGAGAATCTGATATACCAGGGAGTGCTGTCTCAAAACAAGGTGCCAGCTCCATGGCTGCTACTTTAGCCTGTGTCACAGGGCCAGTCACAGGGCAAGGAGGGATAACCTCACACCCCATACACACCCAACAGTCCCAGAGGGGTGTAGTGTGAACTTGGAGATGCAGAGTGCTGTGAGGAGCACTCCCACAACCGGCAAATGCCTCGGTGGCCATGTGGGAACAGGAGGCTAACCCCCACAAAGACCAGCAACCTTCCTCCAACCTATCCTCTCCAACAATCCCCGCTTCAGGAAGCTTTGAGTGGGTACAGGACCTAGAGTATGTACAGATGTTTTCTGTGACCGGGCACCCTCACAGCCCCTGCACCCTCAATGGTGCAGGTGTGCCTCCTGGCTGTTCAGTCCAGCTCCAGTGGTTTCAGAGTGGGACCTTCGTGTGTAGGGTGGACAGAATTGGGGTCTCCAGGACTGGGAGCGGAGAGTAAACATCTAGGTACGTCGAGGCGGGAAAATCCAGTCCCGAACACCCCCCTCTGACCACTCAGCCCA